AATAAAATATTATAAGATTCCTATGATTTTGAGATTTCTGGGAATTTGAATAACACCATGTTAGGTGGTATTCAGATTACCTTAAAATGAGAGAAAGTGAATCCCATGGTAATTACTTTCTTGAGAATCTAAATATTATAGCTCTTGTACCAAACATGATAATATTACAGATTCTCATTCTCATCCTTAAGATTACTGCATATCAAACGCCTCCTTAATTATAAAAGTAATCTTAAAAACGAGGCCTTTGTAAAAATAACTCTTTTGAAAAGTTTTATTAGTAACATAACTTTTTAAAAAATTTTATTTACAAAATGACATCTTTTTATAAAGAATGAGTAAGTATCTTTCTTCATAAAGAATAGAAGAAAGTTATTTTATTAATTTCATTTTGTTGGATAGTCATTCTAGTATATTGCCCCTTAAAAACCACTAAATATATAAAAAAGGGTTTAAACTAATTTTTCACTGGCTATTTAGTTAATTTTTACTCTATTCTATCCTGTGAGGTTCGTGAAAACCCACTTAATTTTCTACAAAGAGTACGACAGTAATAAGATACAGAATATTAAATCCTACTAGAATGGATAAAAAAGAATTAATAAAGACATTATTACCATTACTTCATGACGGTCGGTGGTGAAAAGGTAGCATTTGTTAATAGATAGAAAGATATATAATAGAATGTGAATTTGGAAAGCTATTGTTGGTTAGAATAATCAATAATGGAATGACCCTTTTATCATCTAATGTCCAGCTTATTTCATCGATTTGAGTTTAAAATTTAAAGTTTATTATAATAAAAAATTCTCAAAAATAATTATATCTAATTTTTTTACTACTGTAAAAAACTCACATAAAGTCACATCTCAACTCAAATTAAAAACTCGAATCAACGAACTAAACGGACTTATAATTCTAAAGACAAAGCTAGCTAAGGCCTTGTTTGGTTGGCCGTTTGGATTGTAAAATTTGGTTTGAATTGTGATGATTTAAATTGTAATTCAAAATGGTATTTAGATACATAAATAAATTATAATTTAAATTGAGAATAAAAATTAAATTGTGTTTAGATAAAGATAAAGTTTTGAAAATTGTGATTAGAGTTTTGTAACAAACCTTATAAAATATAATTATAAATGACATTAAAAAATATGCAATATGCATGGAGATTTGTTAATCTCTTTATTATGAACACATTAAAAAAATCATCTCAATTGAAATTGAAACGAAAAAGTAATGACATTTTTAAACTTAAAGTTAAGGAGAGAAAAAAAAATGAAATTCAAGTTGTTTTGGCTGTAGAAAATATTTCGAATTGTGAATTTAGGAGAGAGTCAATTCTAAAATCAAAAGTTTAAACTATCATTAATGATTTAAATTGTCTTCATTTAGGCTTTATTCAATTCTTCCATTTGAGTTGTCTGGCTTGCTACAGTAAAATATTGTCATAATAAGTCACATTTAACTTTTTTATTACAATAAAAAACTCTTATAAAAAATAACATCTCAACTTAAAATAAAAATTCAAATTATATAACTTTAATAATCTATTAAACATTAATTTAAATCTTCAACAACAATTCAAATTTAAATTGAATTTTTTTATTCGGAGTGTTGAAACAAACAACACATAAGCGATTAAGGACCGATCGATCATATTGAGTATATAGTGTAGAAAATGGGAAAGAAAAGTGTACTAAAAGTAGAGTAGTAGCCATGATCACCGGGCTAGCCTATAAGCTTTGTCTCCTCTAACCATGTGCTTCTTCTGAACTCTAGATATTTGAGCTATCACATCTTGTCTCTGTGCAGGGATTCTCTAGATTTGCCTGTTTCAGTATGATATAATATTTGTGCTTCTAATTTTATTATTATTATTATTTTTTTTTGTCAAGAGTTCCAAAACGAATTTAAGGATTGATTAGAGGTTGCTTAATTGTCTTTCTAACGTTCTACCTTAATGACTTGGCAAGCTTAGATATAAAGCGAAAAATAGAGCAAGAGTTGGCGGTTTTTCGGAAATCTCACATGAAAGCTTGAAGATAAGCACATAGATAAATACTCATGGAAAGTTCAACCTTTTTTTTTTTTTTCCGAGCTTATTTGATTAATTAAGCTATGCTAATTAGTATAGATGACTACAGTTGGAGTGAGCTCACAAACAATTACAATGTGAGATTTTTAAGCTAGAGTGTTTAAAGAATATCCTCCTAATAAGGTTCTGTTTTAAACCGTAGATTTATATCAGATTTAACAAGTTATATGTACATTTTTCTTTGACGTAATTTTGGATGATTAATCTAACGTTTTTAGACATACATTACGGTAGGGTATACAGTGAAATTCTCCTTACAGTTAATATAAACTGATTACTGCCTTGGGAGAGGGAGAGTCATGATTGTCTATGCCTACAAGTAGTACCCTTGTAAAACTTGAATTTTTGGATTTTTGAAAGAATTTTTGCTAAAATCCGGCACTTCCTAACTAGCACAGAAGAACTCAGGAGACCATGCAGGCATGCAATCAATACCAAGAAAGCCAAAGTATTTATATTTAGAAAAGAAAGCAATACAACTAACGAGTCTGTACACAGACACACACACACATACACACATACATGCATACATATATATATATCCAACTAAGGACAAAGGAAAACACGCCATAGTACCGAAAAAAGAATCAGTTCGGTCAGGAAAAAGATAAAGAAAATAGTAACTTGAGTCATTCAGACTGAAACTTGAAGTCAGAACAACACTTTCTCTCCAACATTTTTTCAGAAACAAGTCATTTTTGTGAGGGACCCTCTACTGATCAGTCAGAACATCTTATTATAAGTGACAAAATCAATGTATATAACTGCACATATAGTCCCCACATGTGTTTGCCACAATTGTAACTATCAAGGCAGTACGTACTCAATAACCATATCCAAAAGATCTCTTCCTTCACCAAAATATTAATCTTCGGAAGCTTCTTTTCTAAGATCAATATCTATTTGCTTTCACTCTCAGACAAGTCTCTTATGATCACATGGCCTCATCATCAGCAGAAAAATCCCACGATAAGACCAAGATTGCTGCCACTCTGATCTTCATCCTTTTTCTTGCACTATTCTTTTGTTCCAGTTCAGGTATATGCATGAAACCTACACCACCTGAGACTGAAAACTCATGCTTAAATAAGATGTACATGAGCCACATATGTATACATACATACATACATATATATATATGTTAAAATGATAAGTTAGCAAAAGAATCAAAGTCGAAAGTTATATATAACTTCTACTTGATCATGAAGAAACGCGATATTTTAGTTGCTTAAATATTGACTTCTTCTCTTTTGGGATTTAATCAATTAATGTTTCAGCGGCTGCGTCGTCGAGGTTAGCAAAAAATAATGATGATAGTGGAGAAGATTTAAAGAAGATGAAAATGGTGTTGGGTTCGAAGCCACCACGGTGTGTGAACAAGTGCAAGAGTTGCAGACCTTGCATGGCTGCTTTAGTCATTTCTCAACGCCAAAAAAACGGTGCCAAGGCATCACCTCACGACCATGATCAGACCTACTATCTTCTGGCTTGGAAATGCAAGTGTAGGGACAAGTTCTTCCAACCATGAAAAACACACACACACACACACACACATATATATATGTGTGTATATTTTCTAGTTGTAGATTTACCTATAAGACGCATGTTCCTACGTACTTTCTGTCTGTAGTACTGTAATTAAGGATCTAGTAGTTTAATTAGTAGTTTTTCATATATATCAACTTTACGTTGCATGATACTATAATATATTCTCTCTTATTAGTAATTGTTAATATCTCTCGAGGATTGACGTTTTTACTAACTCGTTTTCTCATATGTTTTTTTCTTTACCATTCCAATGAGTTGTGTAGATTAAACAACCAGCCAAGTGACAACATGATATAAGATAACCCCGTGTTAATCCATGTTTAGACTAACAAGTAATGTTAAGGATCCAAGCGATATCTATTAAACTTTTGTTCCAAGTTTTGTGGCAAACGGGTTCTTATTTTCAGTTAATATTTAACAAATTCACTAATCAAAACTTGACAATTTATATGTCTCACTAGCTACTTGGCATAGATAACAAAAAATTATACATCACTTGAAGCTCCTAGTATTATTCATATTATTATTATTATTATTATTATTATTATTATTATTAAAAGTTTGTGATCTTTACATTTTTGTTCCGACATTTTGTCACCGAGAAGAGAACCACAAGACAGCTAACCGATAAGGGCAATTACATACCACACTCGTCTCTCTTTTGACATTTCAGAATCCAAACAACCAACTGTTTTGGCGTAGTGACTGTTGTATTTTACATCAAGGACTCAACAAAATGATGTGTTCTTTTTGCCAGAATGGTGATAGTGGTGTGATAGTGAAAGAAAAAATAATTTATCCGCATTATCAGTTACGACTTATAGAACTGGCATCCTTTGCGTGCAAAGAAATAAAAAGGAAAGATGGCTAATGCTATTACCGATTAATAATTAGCTTGGCTATAAAATATCACCAGTAAAATTTTTTGGCCTTATTAATGGTTGATAATTTACTTGGAGACTTCAAAGCAGATAAGGATTCCATTAGTGGTATTGCTATTGACTCATGTAAATGCTGATGCTAAAGTGCCTAAATATCAAAGAAAGACGAGATAATTTCATGTCATTCACATGCAACAAAAACCATTTGTGACTAACAATCCTACTCATAGTATGGAAAGAATTATAAATAAAAAGAAAATACCAAGGTGAATGCATATTCCCGCCTTTTTTTTTATGTATATGTTTTAATAAAGGTGCAGCTCAAATCTCAACCTCCAAATAGTGAAAAGAATGATACTTTTGTCCTTTCTTTTTGTTATCTAATTATTGATATTTAAGCCACACATGCATTGCTCGAGGAAAGAGAAAAAAGTCACATGCATCCCAAAAATGTGTCAATAGTTCTACCAGAAGGAAAAAACTTAAAATGGGAAAATACTTTTTGTTAGGTCTTATGACAGAGAAACACACAATTGTCATTCTAGCCATGCCTTATTCACACTCGCACACTATGTACAGAGGATAAGATACACCACGGGAGAAACTTAAAAAACACCTAACTACATCATTCTTTATATAACTCCCATCTTTTACAGTAATAATACTCTTGAGATTTGTTGTGCTATAATCAAAAAACATTTCAATATATGTATACTACGTGAGTACATTTTTTATTTTTTCAGCACCTTCATGTGGAATAACTTATTGTCCAAGGGGATTGGACTCCTTTTCTCGATCTGCTTATCTATTTGCGTGCTGTCCGAAGACAAGGATCAGCAAGTCATGGTTCTAAGCAGGCTTGAATTTGCCATACCCTCTGTTGGTTTCCAGATGATATTTTCTAGTTTCGTGCAGAAGCTCTTGTAAAACTGCAAAAATGTTACCCACCATCGAGATGTCAAAAGTAGTATTTACCTTTACATGCTTACTAGTAATCCAGAACCCTAAACCTAAATCAAGTCTTGACTCGTTAATTACACTCGAGATGCGTATATGGATAGCACCGATTGAACCATCAAATCGTGATGCATATGTTTTGCCACAAAATCAAGTTTTATGCTAGACTAGAGAGCAAAACATAAATTAATACTGCCCCGTTCTTTTCGCTGATTCGAGTTTAGAATTTGAGTTTTGCTACAGTAAAAAGCTCTCAGAAACAGTCACATCTAACTTTTTTGCTACAGTAAAAAGCTCTTACACAACATCACATCTTAACTCGAATTAGCGAACCGAATAGGCCCAAGTTGAAAAGGTTCAATATAAGGCAGTAGCAATGCGGATGAGAAACATGGACTCATACATATTATATCATATTATTAGTGAACTGAAGGCCAAACACATCTATCAGCAGAGAGTGGAGGGTGCATAGTTAGGAAGAAATGAGTCAAAGCCCAAAAAGAATAGCAATGAGATGATGACCACTTGGTTTGCAAAATCCAGTACTGAAATTTTGAATTTTTCAAGATTCGAGAGAAGGGTAACCTTGTGATATTCAAGAGTATCCCCAGCAGCTTTTCGAACATCTACCATGAAAAGGGATGGTGCAACTTCGAAGACCTGAATGTAAAGGATACTGATTAAGATATTACATTTTTATCCCCTTCCCTTACAAAAGGGTTTCACAAATTGAGCTCTATTATAGCCCCGGTTCTAATTTGATCCATGACATTTACTTTAAGATAGTAGGCTATTCTGATATTTGAAAAAGCGCCATAGTTGGTCCGTTCAACAACGTTTCCATGGGAAAATGGATTGAAACTTGTCACATGACCCTTTCGCGTGTAGACCTTGCTCAGAGATCTCCCACATCCTGGTCTTGACAATCCATCGGAACTCTGTACGCACCCCCTAATTTTGGCAATTTACCACCTTGACTTTTTAAATTGTTGCATTGTGCCCAATTTTGCCAAGCTTTTCGTTAAATTGTTGATGGAATGCCCACATGCATCTCATGTGAGTACAAAAAATCCCATATTCGATCGAAAAGTTCCCAATCTAATTCAAATCTTAATGCAAATCTTCCAAATTCAAATCCTCAATTTAACAGGAAGTTAGCAAAATGAGCCACGTTGCAACAATTTAAAAGTTTTGGGGGTAAATTGCAAAAATTTGAAGTTTCGGGGGCAAGTTGCCAAGACTTGAAAAGTTTAAGGGGCAACTGTGCTAAAAAACCCTGAAGATCGGGGTATTATACTATCTAAAAATAAATGTCACGGGACAAATTGAAATATGAATCTGAGGCTATAGTTAGGGGACCATTTGTGAAAACAGCTCAAATTCAGAAGAGCAGTCAACAGTAATGGTGACTGACTCTGGTGAAGTTACCTCCAAAACAACTGCAAATTGTCCAGTCCTGTTTGCAGATATACCTTCAAGTCTTGTCTGAGGTAAGAGAAATATTTTATTAACTAAATTAAGACATGTTAAATAACACAACAGAAAGACCATATCGTATACTACTAAACCAGCCACTTCAGCGTGGTACATATCTAAGCTTTTGGCCATGCAAAACAACAACAAAGACGACCTTAATATTGCAAAGATCAAGAAAACATACCATAACGTTATGTTATAAAAATCATTTCAATGTTTAAAAAGTTAACAACAGCATTTATATTTTTTGTTTGAATTGAACAAATCTTAATGATTTCTTTTTATTTGCTTCTTTTTTTTTATTTCGTTTGCGTCCTTTGCTTGTTTTACTTTTTAATTTTGGGACTTTTATGCTTTAAGATTGTAAAATCTTTTTCTTTTTATTTTTCAATAAAGTTTTGTGTATTGAAAAAAAAAAACATTTATATGATACGAAAATAAACATCATACAAATACCTTGTAACCACGTGTATGGACTTTGAGATTCATTGATTCTGCAACAGCTTCAACATTTGAAATTATAGCTTTTGCTGGTTTCCGAGAAACAAAACGAGTTTGCCTTTTTACATAATCCTGCCAGAGAAAGGAATGAGGAGGAAGAAACAGGCGCATCTAGGATTTCATATATGTTACTTTTCTGAGATATAATAAAAAACCAACGAGTAACACATACTAGGATGATATGTTACTAAATGATGGAACTGCAGTTTAGCAAAAAAAAAAAAAAGATAAATATATAAATAAATAAATAACCTTATGAAACTGTAACCAATGCGTTAGGCAAGAAGTTTTTGCAGGTTTATAGACTAATTTAATCATACCTGCTGTCTGTCAAATAGTGCAGATAGATTTAACCCTTGAGATAAGGTAATCATTTCAAAAGCATTCATTATCAAAGGACCACCCTCATTACTCTCTGACCGCCCCGCTACATATTGGTCCTGTAAAATACCATCCTCTATAAGATAGTCTTGATTACCCTCAAAAACAAAAAAAGAGTGTCTTGAAAAGACATCAAAAGGCCTAAGTTATTCTGACAAAACAGGTATTTGAGTGTGAAGCTCACAAATTATTTCAGTTTATAGTCTACCATCTACTTTTCATAATTATACAACGAAAAAACAAAAGGAATCTTGTCAATTTGCAATATGCATTGCTTCAGAATAAGATATTAACCATGAGAACAAAGAATTCTATCAATAGCACAAAACAACGAAGATCAACCTCAATATCTTCAAAAACTGCACAAACATCGTCCAAATTGACTTCCTCATCTTCCCTAAGCTCAACAGGTGCATAATTCTTCCGGAACCATGGATCTTTTCTGATACCTTCAATACATATTCGCTGTTTCAACAGAAAAATCATTCAAAGGAAAGTAAACACCTTAAGATCATCATTAATCTTGTAACAGGTATAATTGTTTTTATTGTTTAGACAATTGGAAATGAATATATTGATATTCAAACAAATCCGAGCATTTGCAGAGGGTGAAATAAAATACTCACGGATTTTGGATTGGGATCAAGTATCTTATGTATCAATGACTTTGCCCCAGGAGAGAACCATGAAGGACATGAAAATTCGGCCGCATTTATCTACATGTATGCAAAAGGACAGTTAGCAACTCAAGAGTTCAAAATATTCATCTATTTCGAAAAGCTTCCCCTTATCTATTGGGAATGGTAGAAGATAAAATGGGGAAATAGGGTGCAAAAAATCTATGCATGATAAAAGGGCCAAAAAAAGGTCTGCTGAAGTCCATAACGTTGAGTGTGAGAGGCCTAATTATTTGCCAACATAGAGTTTACACGTGGATTGAATTATGCCGCACCTGAAAGTGGACGTAAAGAATCACACCATAAATCTCCGGTGCTTATGAGTTTTGTTTGCTCGGTAGTAAAGGATTAGGGCGTCTAATTATTAGCATATAATATTGGTCAGATTCAATAATTTCCAAGTATGTCAGAGAAAATACCAAACAAGATGATTAACAATCAGCCACGGAGGAAAATGAAAAAGAAAAAAAATAGAATAGAATAGAATAGAATACAGAGACAAGGGCCTTGTAACACAGTTGAACATGCATGCCTTCATGAAAGAATTGACCGTGTTAAGCATCACATATCAAAGAATAGAATCAAAGCATTTTGCAAAACTAAAGTGTACATATACCAATAAAATTTTACTAAGCACAACAAAAGCAGCAGACCTTTTTGTACAGAGAAGGAAGATCTGACTCATCAAATGGGCGATATCCGGCCATTATGACATAAAGGATGACACCACATGACCACACATCAGCAGCTGCACCATCGTATCCGTGGTCGCCAAGAACCTGTTCGGCAGTAGAGATTCAGATGCATAAACAAACACTAAGGAGATGATTAATTTTCATTTGTTTTCTTTCTGCAATTATAAAGAATCAGCAAACAATGTTGTTTCCAGATTCATGAAATGATGCTACACAACTTTTTGAAGTTGTTAAACATAAAGAAGCACCTGAAATGCATTTGCAACATGATTTTTAAACAAGTTTTGGTGACAAATAAAAAAATTAACGTGTATAAACCAATTATGAAAGAACAAGAGACACACTATTATTGAAAAACTCAGTAAATTCTCTCCATTGCTAACTGTCCCACAAATTCAAAATGTGAAGCAGAAGATCTTTTATTGACAGAGCCTAAGACCCTTTGGTCTAATGGCATGGGGAGGGGGCTGGAGGGGGCTGGAGAGGGCTTTTGGTGGGAGGTTGTGAGTTCCATCCCACTTGTAATCTGTATTTCTTATTTACAGAATGGCACATGTTATAATAGGTGCTTTCCTTTTTTATTTTTATTTTTTAAAAAAAAGGGTCTCACAAATTCAGCAAGATAGACACACTTTTCTGCATCCACCATTTTCTTTCCCACGCTAGACTGTAGCTATGCAGTACTGTAGTGGCACCTTATTTTCCCCTTTTGCACCCAACTACTGCTTAGACTACATACCAATTTTCAGTCTATTTGTGCATCAATCGCTTTAGTATTTTCTATCAATGGTACTTTCTTAATTAGAGAAATGAAAAGTGGACTTAAAAGTACCAAATTCTATCAATGGCTTGTTTCTTAATACGAGGAATGAATAAAGTGGAATTAAGCGTACCAAACTCAGTCGTTTGTAGCAGCAAGAAAGCAAGAGAACCTGCTCTCTTTATTGAGCAGATTTTACAAAATGATTTGACAGTAAGTATTCTAAAGAACTGCATCTTAGCAGTAGAAATTCTATAAAGTCTTAAATGGGAGAGCACGTGCAATAAATTGAAAATGTACCTCCGGTGCAACATAATTTGGGGTTCCACATGTTGTGTGAAGAAGACCAACCCCCTGCCCAAGAATATAAGTCAAAAATGAAAGTAAGCTATAATATGCGCAAGTAATTCCAACGCAAAATTACAATTAAAGGGAAAAAAAAATCAACAATGCAAAGTTACCAACGGAAAAAAATCAATGTCACCTGCTGGGTCAATGCACTTAAACCAAAGTCAGAAACCTTCAAATTTCCATAAGAATCAAGAAGCAGATTTTCAGGCTACATGTCACAAGGCAAACAGCAAGATATTAATTGTGATAAGAAAAAATGCAGTGAAATCACATTTTTCTAGAGCAAGTTTGTTATGCATAATATTATAATTGATGTGCACCTTCAAGTCTCTGTGGTACACACCCTTACTATGACAATGAGCAACTGCATCAATAAGTTGTTGAAAGTATCGCCTAGATTCATGTTCAGGAATCTTTCCATGGTGAACCTGGAATCCAATTCACAGATGAAGTTTTACAGTATGAAAGCCCTGGATAGAGAGAGAGAGTAATCTGCTGATACCTAAATGCATTATCTAAAAAATAATCTCACTTAAAGATTCTCCGAGCAGGCAAAGATGAACACATATATATCGCTCACCATGTACATAAAGATGGAGAAACCTTACAATTTTGTCAAATAATTCTCCTCCAGCTACAAACTCGAGAATTATGTATATCTTTGTTTGGCTAGACAAAACCTATAACTCAGAAAGTTGTACGAAAAAAGATTCAGAGACAGACAATATGATTAAAAAAAAAGGACATAAAAAAAATGACCACATAATGATTTGTAGGCTGAAAAGCATAAGCATACCTCATGCAACCTGACTATATTAGGATGCCTGACGATCTTCATTATGGATATTTCTCTTTTAATCTGGAGTCCATAACCGATGAAGAAATCCCAATTTCATTACTAGAGGTAGAAAGAATCAAGATTGAAATGGATTGACATCTATTGCAAAACATATAAACTTCCAGTATGGACTTGCAAGTATACCACTTTTTGACACATAGCTGCATAAGTCTATAAAATTATAATTTCTAAGTGGGTTTTAAGAAAGGAGAAACAAGCAAATACCTGTTCTACCATTCTGTGCTTGAGAATGGTGCTTTTGGCCAAAATTTTCAAGGCCGCACTCTCACCCGTCACTGTATTTCTGGCAAACTTAACCTTGGCAAATGTCCCTTCTCCAATAGTTCTGCCAACCTCATACTTCCCGACCTTCCTTGTTACCTTCTTCATGGTCTCTCCACTCTCATTTCCCAATTAATTAACTTAATTCGTATCGATCCACATGAAAATTAAACTTTATAAGGACCTGCTGAATAAATAAATAAATAAATAGTATAATTTGTACATTAAGAAAATAAACTATAACGTAAGATAGACAAAGTAAAATAGTTTATTCTAAAAAAAGTCAAATACTTGATAGAATTTTCAGCTTAAGAACCATTCGGTTTTTTTATCAATCTCTTCTACCATGGAATTTTCAGCTTAAGAACTATGATTCTTGGTCTTTTATTAATCACTTCAACTATGGAAATCCGACCAAGCCAAATAATACTATTACTCCAAACAAGGCAAAAATCAAGGAGCTGAATTATATATATATATATATATATATCATCATTTTCTTTCGCATTTTCTTCCAAAACTTCTGGGGAAAAAAAAAAAGATTGTGCGGAACCTAAGCACATAAACCCTAGCGCCCCAGCTTCGCAGCTGAGTGATCGAATGAAAAAGATGATACGCAAACAAAATTCTTTCGGAAACACGAAACTTCTCCATCAACTTTGCTGTTATTCTGAGCAATCGAAAGCCCTGGATAGAGAGAGAGAGTAATCTGCTGATACCTAAATGCATTATCTAAAAAATAATCTCACTTAAAGATTCTCCGAGCAGGCAAAGATGAACACATATATATCGCTCACCATGTACATAAAGATGGAGAAACCTTACAATTTTGTCAAATAATTCTCCTCCAGCTACAAACTCGAGAATTATGTATATCTTTGTTTGGCTAGACAAAACCTATAACTCAGAAAGTTGTACGAAAAAAGATTCAGAGACAGACAATATGATTAAAAAAAAAGGACATAAAAAAAATGACCACATAATGATTTGTAGGCTGAAAAGCATAAGCATACCTCATGCAACCTGACTATATTAGGATGCCTGACGATCTTCATTATGGATATTTCTCTTTTAATCTGGAGTCCATAACCGATGAAGAAATCCCAATTTCATTACTAGAGGTAGAAAGAATCAAGATTGAAATGGATTGACATCTATTGCAAAACATATAAACTTCCAGTATGGACTTGCAAGTATACCACTTTTTGACACATAGCTGCATAAGTCTATAAAATTATAATTTCTAAGTGGGTTTTAAGAAAGGAGAAACAAGCAAATACCTGTTCTACCATTCTGTGCTTGAGAATGGTGCTTTTGGCCAAAATTTTCAAGGCCGCACTCTCACCCGTCACTGTATTTCTGGCAAACTTAACCTTGGCAAATGTCCCTTCTCCAATAGTTCTGCCAACCTCATACTTCCCGACCTTCCTTGTTACCTTCTTCATGGTCTCTCCACTCTCATTTCCCAATTAATTAACTTAATTCGTATCGATCCACATGAAAATTAAACTTTATAAGGACCTGCTGAATAAATAAATAAATAAATAGTATAATTTGTACATTAAGAAAATAAACTATAACGTAAGATAGACAAAGTAAAATAGTTTATTCTAAAAAAAGTCAAATACTTGATAGAATTTTCAGCTTAAGAACCATTCGGTTTTTTTATCAATCTCTTCTACCATGGAATTTTCAGCTTAAGAACTATGATTCTTGGTCTTTTATTAATCACTTCAACTATGGAAATCCGACCAAGCCAAATAATACTATTACTCCAAACAAGGCAAAAATCAAGGAGCTGAATTATATATATATATATATATATCATCATTTTCTTTCGCATTTTCTTCCAAAACTTCTGGGGAAAAAAAAAAAGATTGTGCGGAACCTAAGCACATAAACCCTAGCGCCCCAGCTTCGCAGCTGAGTGATCGAATGAAAAAGATGATACGCAAACAAAATTCTTTCGGAAACACGAAACTTCTCCATCAACTTTGCTGTTATTCTGAGCAATCGAACACGACAGAGACCGGGATTCGCGAATCCGTATCCAAATTGCAATTGAAGATTCGGAGTTAAAGCACGATTTGGAAATACCAGAAAAGAAAAAGAACATGAAGAGAAGTAGCAAATTGAAGCAAATATCCTTACCGGAAAATCGAGAGGAACACTCGCCGGAGCTCCGGCGAAGGAAATTAATGGTTATTGATCAAGACCAGCGCGAAAGAAGCAGAGAGAGAGAGAGAGAGATGGAAAACGTCAAAGATTAACCGTTAAAATACTAAAAACCGCTGTTCAATTGTCCTTTTCTTTTTTACATATATGATGAGAAAGGATTTCTGTTAATCTATAGTGAACTTCTTAAAATTTAGCAAAAAAAAAAATAGACCTTAAAAGATGATTTTACTTTTGTTCTTCTCCTTTTAAAAAAAGGAAAAAAAACAAAATTACGCACGTGATGAAAAGCAAGTTCATATGTGGGGACTTCCGTGCACGCTAATTGAAAAAACAAAAAAACAAAAAAACAAAACAAAAAGGTGTTCTGTAAAATTCTTTTATCTACACTAATTTTGTAATTTGTTACGCACGTATTATGTATTAAAGATATTTAAAAAAATTATTATTTAATGAATAATAAAAAATTTATTTATACAACTATTTAAGGCCTAATATTTAAATTATAATATTTGATTCTCACGTTTGAAGTTCAAATTTTTTATGAAAAGAATACTATAGTAAAATCAATTATTTGAGTTTGATTATATAAAACAAACAGAATCTTAAGAAGTTTTGAATTTATTTTAAAAAATAATATTTTAAAGATAACAATTATAAAAAAAATAAAGTAAGGACACATTTAAAAAAGAGTAATGCTAGGGATACTAACTTTAATTCTATTTTTTGTACTAATTGATATGGCGCGTGAGTTGACATCTTTTTATTGATAGATGTAATCTCTTTCATTAAATGATGTGGCAATGTTTTAAAGACCCATTAAGAGAAAAATGACAACTCATAAACTACATCAGTTGACACACAAGAGTAATGCTAGGGATACTAACTTTAATTCTATTTTTTGTACTAATTGATATGACGCGTGAGTTGACATCTTTTTATTGATAGATGTAATCTCTTTCATTAAATGATGTGGCAATGTTTTAAAGACCCATTAATAGAAAAATGACAACTCATAAACTACATCAGTTGACACACAAGAATTAAGATTTGAGTTGATATCTTTAGCATTATTTTTTAAATAAAATTATTTTAACCAACCAAAAATAAAATATGAACAAATGCGAAAAAATTACCCTACTAAAGAAGAAACCGTGCTTCCTTTTGCACCAATAGAGAGAGAGATGCGTGGGAAAGAGAGAAAAAAAGAGAGGGAGTGGTGGGCCATCTGATTCGTCTATTCTTTTAATTTGACAATAAAAAAAATTCTGATTTTATTTATTAATTATTTTTTTATATTTTTTTTATTAATTTTGGGCTTATTTGTAGTCAAATTTTGTCCATTTTAACACGGTTTCACGCTAAATTTTCCATAATGTTTAAATAAAAATGCTATAAATGATTCAATAAAAAATAAAATTTAACAAAAATACATTAAAATAAAATAAAATCACACTAAATTAAGTAAAAATAAATTAAACAAAATAAAATAGAATTTATTTAAACGCGGTAAAATAACTTAAAATCTTCTTTTCTTGTCTTTTGCTTCAGATTTTTTCTCTTTATATCTTCTATATCTTTTTTTTCTTCTTCTTCTTTTTTTCAAAAATAATTTGAGAATTGTTGTTTTAAATAAATCATGCGTGCAATGCGCATAATAAAAACTAGTATTTAAAAAAAAAACATAAAAGAAATAAAAAATAAAAAATAAAAAAAATAAGTGGAGGGACTGTCACATAACAATCGTATAGAAAAGAACTTTGACTCTTTTATGTATTGTTAGATTAGCTAAAGAAAAAAAAAAAATTATCCTTGTAGTTGTGATATTTGTCTGGCTCAAATGAAATTGCTATTTTTGTTTTTATAAAAAAAATACTACACGTAAATTTCCTAATATCTTCACTTTTCTATGCCTATTTCCACAATGAAAACGTCAACTTCTAAATCATTAGTTACCTTTCGTTCTTGTTTTTCCCCATCATGGGTCTACTTTAAAGTCTTTACTTTAGGAGTTTCCTTTCTTGAGCGTGAGCGTAGATAGAAATTTTGAACTTTCATATCACTCTTTGGCTTTAAAATTAACATTTAGTTGTTTGTGCTAATAAACTAACAAGAAAAATTTGAGAAAATCTTTACAATCTTAATGTTACCGCGTTATATTTCTTTGTTACAGAGAGAGATGCTCTCCTTTCTCTCTAGAAGTTTAAAGTATCAGATCTTGTTTTCTTGCTTGTTTGTTTCCTTTTCTCTGTTTGTTTAATATTATGTTATACCTTAAAACTCTTAACATGTTTGTCATTATGGTTTTAAGATATTTCTTATCTTAATTTCATTAATTTTGGTAATTAGGGAACATGTCAATTGACATGAGCTGGATTATGTTGTTCAATCATTTGTCGGATGAGTACATGAACGGGGTTGCAACATTTCTTTAAAGAGCCCGAAATTATGTCGATGATGATGGAAAATGCAAGTGATACATAATCTAATTTTGTCATGATTTATGTCAGTAACATATGTATGATGTGCCTTGCTGAATTTATGTTAAGACAGTTGTTTATTTTTGTTCAAGTCAATTGTTCTTCTTTCACTTGTTAATTATATAAATTACTTCATACCTTGTTTCTTTCATTGTTAGTAACAAATATATAGTTTCATATCTTGCTTATTTCATTGCTAATAAGAGAAATATTGTGGCTGATTCTGATTCTACTTCTGCACCCACAATGGCTGCCAATGTACTGTCTTTTTATTACTTTGATTACTGATGATTATTATTATTTTTTCAATTACTACAACAAGAAGACATGCTCCAGGAGAAACACGTTGTATTGCAAATGACATAATTTTTAGTTGCTCTGGAAAAATGAGTCCAGAATTTTGTCCTGATACATATAAAGGGGTAGGAAAAGTGGGCGAAAGGTGGTTATTTGAGTTAGATTGGATTGTGCGCCACATAACCCTGCTCCAAGTCAAGGCCTGGAAGGATATTCCACAACCAAACAAATTGGCGATGGTTGCTAGACTCAAGGTAATAATATAGAGCCACCTAATTTCTTTTGATAGAAAGTCTTGTTGAATTATAGTCCTATTTTTATATTTATTATATATGTTATATACTTATATTATCTATTTAATATATTAAATATTAGTATTATATATTAGTATTTCTATATCATAATATTGTGTTCTTAAGATTCCGTTCTTTTGTAGCAAAAAGCAAAGGAGCTTGATAATTCTAGTGGACTAATTGAGCTCTATCATAATATGTACCATCACAAGACTAAGGGTTGGACTAGGACAGTACTAGAGGAGAACTATTATGCAAGTATTTTTTATTTATTTATTTGTGTTTCATTATAATTCGGTATTCATTAGTTTTTCTTTTCACTGGCTAATTTTCAATTGACAACACAAGATGACAGATTTGCAAACTCAAACTCGCCATTCAAGTGATGCAGCTGAGGGAAATACCTCTACACAACTCACATTAATGACAAAAAAAGATATAATGAATAATGTCCTTGGCACACAAAACTGGATAGATATAGGGAGCAGGCCAAGCACCAAGAGGGCGTCCGAGAAGGAGGAGAACATAAAATGGTTATTTCTCTACTCAAAGCACCAAGAGGGCTTAAGACCTTTAAGACTCCGCAAATGCATATCGATAACCTTAAGAACTTCGATGCACGTGGACAAATGGAGTTTGACAGTCTTAAGAACTTTGTGAAGTCTATGTTCCCACACTATCAACCTCCTTTTGGTGACTCATCTACATCTGAATTGTATGTTGATCTTGTTGGGAATAGTGTCCTAGAAGCATAAGATGTAATAGGATATTTATTATTTAATTAATAAAAGAGTTTATTCATCATTTTATGTGCATATATTTATGAATATTTTATGAATATCAAATGAAAAATCTGTGATTATTTATGTAACCTTAAACATAGTATATAAGTGTTATATACGAGAGGATAGTGTTTAAGGATAATAATCAAAAACATTATTCATAATGAATTTAATTAAAGTTTGGAATCTTTAATTAAAACATTATTAATACATGTCATTCCCATTTAGAATGGAACGGTGCTATTCGCACTGTTAAATATGGTGAGATATTGAATGAGTGTATTTCGCATAATGAGATTGTGTGGAACATGGACACAAACACAATATGAATTTCTAATAATTTCCGTTAAGCATAGAAATTCTAATTAAGTCTACCGATAGTCATATATAGAATGATCTTAATCCTGAGTTCTTAACAAACTCCTATTTATGGATTTGTGTCTTTTGATTTACTCGGTACGGACTCTGAGACCTTGAATCCTATTCCTTGTATTTTGGAGACATGATGAAATAGGTAGCCGGGAATGCTATTATACGAGATGGAATCTATTCCTTCTTGAGAAAGAAGTAGATAAATAATTCTCTTGAGTGTTGATTCGGTACTTGGATTAGTAAGAGCGCTCAGGTTCATGAATGTGTTTTATGAATCATTATTCATTAGAGAATCAATGGTACTCAAAGATGCAGATATAATTAGAGAGGTTAACGGATTCTACCTGACTCTAATTATGAATTATTTATGGA